GATTTCTAAACTCCTTATCCAGAAGCAAACTTCTCCTCCTTCCAAAAAGCTATAGTGTAAACACTTGAAGGTTTCCTTGCCTCAAGCACCACACCACGTTGAAGGATATTACTTTTGATCAAACTTTTTGATTAAAAGGGGGTAGGTCAACTCTCTTACAAGTTGATCTTGCAAGTCCTATTGTTCGGATCTTGCAGTTGTTGAAGAAGCTTGACCTTCGAAGGAACAACAAAGCCAGCACGAGTGCAGTAGCAACATTGGTCTTGTGAAAATATACCATGCAGAAATTCACACAAGTGTAATTGTTGGTTCATTATTCAACAACCAACTACATAGTGGATTTTGAGGACGTAGAAGGATTACCCCACCTTCGAACCTCGTTAAAGTTTGCGTGTCTCTCTCTCTTATCTTTATTCTTACTTGCAATTATATCAACTGTGAAAACTAACCTATCCATATTGATTACTGCTCACTCCACCCACCAAATTCCGCACACAATCTAAAGTTCACAAGGACTCTAGATTAACACTCATTTTCACGTTTTCAAAAGAAACGAAAAAGATTTTAAATCTGTAACAAAGTCTATTCACCCCCCCCCCCTCTAGACTTTGTATTTCACCACTTTGGGACCACCAGTTCTTCAAGCATGTCAAACACAAAACTCAACCAAATGACCATTTATGAACATAGAAACGACCTATATGAACATTCTAGTCATTAGATATATCTACGGGCTTACCTTAATGCTAAACGATGATTCCGGTGAAAAGACGGCGAAACTTCCGGCGAACACCACAGCTTGCTCCGGCAACTTGACACCAAATTGGTAGTACTAAAACGCTCCTCACACTCAGCGCTTTCTATTGGGATAAGAATGATGAAGAATGGTGGACAATTTGGGGGTTTTATAGTAGAGGGTTAGTAGAAGAAGCCATGGGTGATGTCCTTGTTCCCTGTTCCAACGGCTGAGTGGAGCAAACGGCGATCTTCTACGGGTTTTAAACGCAAGTCCCTGATTGGGACTAATTTTGGTCCCAGTCAGGGTACACTTTTTAGTCCAACTTTATCCGAATTAAAATCCGATTGAACCGTTGCGGTCAGACAGTCAAACTCTACATAACGATATAATTTTTATTATTTATTGACAAACTTTATAATTCACATATTTTTGGGTCCTTCGCAGTAATTAATTAATTATCAATTAATTAATTCTGATAGGCCTATTTTTGGGGCGTTACAAATGTTATTTGATTACTTCTGATCTGGTCTGATTAAATTTAATCTTATTTTAGTAAGAATGAGTAATAAGCAGAAAAAATAAGTTGAACACAATGCAGCTTAAGTCCACAATGCTATATAACCTATCGACAACTTATAATCCTAATTTTCAAAAGGTAGTCCTAGAATTCTTCTACGTAACCTAGGTCATCACTCACTAAGCATATTCACTCTAATAACAATATAGTTCCTTAAAGTTGTTCAGTGCGTAATAACATTATTATAGAATATAACAAAAGATAATAACATTTGATAATTCATAACATAATAGAAATAACGGCCTAGTGTTGGGTGTGTACATCTTCCACTTACCGTCAAGCAACACACAAGGTCTTGGAATCAATTTGTGACGTTAAATAGTTTAGTTTGTTCGGTTATACAGTACCTGGCGGTACCTTGCTACCGATGACCGGTAGTGAACTACTGTCTGACTGTTTGTTCATACCTTGAACTCCTTCTGTGGCGGTAGCTGAATATAACGTTATACGGTACCAGACTATTGTCTACTGTTAGGAGTTTCTATTGCAGTACACAACAACGCGAAGAACAGAAAATTTCATCTCAAAACACAAATTAAATAGATACTAACATCCTACCTTGTTCGTATATGGATTATAGTGTGTCCAATCATTAATTTATGCCTAATTCATGCTCAAATAACTTCTAACAATTATCACACAGTTTTAGGCCAACATCACAAATCGTAATCAAATAGTTCATATAAATGAATTCATGATTGGCTACGTACATAAATTAACGCTAGATGTGAATTCTAATGGTAGAATAAGCCCACAAACTCACCTCTATTATTTGTTGAATAAAATAACTCAACAACTCACACCAAATGGTAAACTTCAGCGAGGTTGTTTGACATTAGTAGCTGCGGAATTCAACACCTCAACAAAAAATTGGAAACATATGCAGTTTAGCTAAGGGTCAAATGCAGGATGGTCTATCCGTTAGTTGATTATCAGTGCAAGTGGAAAGGGAAATATGGTAGAAAAATGTTAACTGTTGACATTGAGAAAATGTTAAAAGTTCCCTTTCACAGACGCAAGAACATGTGGGCGCTTGGATATGCAATGGAAGTCTCAAAATCCATTGTCCAGAGATGGCCAAAGAGAAAGGACATAAGGAGACACATTCAAATACCATTAAGCCCTTACTGTGTGAATAAGGTAAGCTCAAAAGACTTCAGTGTCGTTTGGATCATATTAATGCCTCATCCATTCCCATGAACCCCACATTTCATAATTTCTACGATTACATTCATATCGATGAGAAACGATTTGAATTTACAAAAGATAAGACAACATTTTATGTACTATGAGATGAACCTAACATATACAGAATAACTCAATCCAAGAGTAAAATACCAAAAATCATGTTCTTAGCAGCAGTTAATAGGCCTAGGTTTGGGAATGATGGGGTAATGCTTTGGGATGAGAAAATACGTATATTCTCATTCACATATGAAGTTGAGGCCAAAAAGTCTAGAAAAAACAAGTCACTAGGTACATTGGAGGTCAAGGCTACCAGTACCATAACTACCATTAATAGAGATGAAATGAAAAAGATTTTGCTCGGTAAGTTACTCCCAACAATCAAAAAAATATGGCTAGGCCCAACAAAAAGATGTAATAATCCAGCAAGACAATGCTAACCCACAAGTGGATGTGAATGGCCATGAGCTTGTACAAGCTGCACAAGAAGGCAATTGGAACATTAAGCTACAATTCCGGCCTCCTAATAGCCAAAAGCTAGATGTTTTGGATTTTGGGTATTTTAAGTCACTTGATAGAATTCAAGACCAGACTACACCTAGGAAGTTACAAGACTTGATCAATGTTGTAATTAAATCCTTTGAAGACCTCACGCCTGAGAAGTTAAATAATATTTTCTTAAGTTGATAAGGTGTTATAGTGAGGTTCTTAAACACAAAGGGGGCAACAACTTTAAAATCTCACACATTGGGAAAAGTAAGTTGGCTAGGCAAGAAAGGCTACTAGATAATCTCGGGGTCACTCAAGAGGTTTATCGAGAAGCAAAACAATTCCTATAAGAACATATGTAGTACTCTTTTAAGTTCTTTTTTTTGTATGTACAATATAGCATGGGTAAAAGTACAATAATTTTATGTACTCCCATGTAACCAGTGAAGTATGAAGTTTGACATTGGTCATAGAAAATCATGTTAATATACTACAAACTGATGTTTTTTCACATTTTGTGACATGAACTTTCGGGAAGAACAAGTGTAGAATCTGTTCTATTTTCAGTTAAAGAACAAGTGTAGAATCTCTTTTATTTTCAGTTAAAGAACAGGTGTAGAATCTATTTTATTTTCAGTTAAAGAAGAAGTGTAGCATCTGTTCTATTTTTAGTTATAGAAGAAGTGTAGCATCATTTCTATTTTTAGTTGTAGAAGAAGTGTAGCATTTGTTTTATACTTTAAAAAAGTGTAGAATCTGTACTGTTTTAAGTTGAAGAAGTGTGGAAACTGTTCTTCTTAAGTTGAAGAAGATGTATACCATCTGTACTCATAAATAAAGACAAAAGACAGGCAGACCAAACCTTTGCAAAACTTGATTGTTATAAGTCTCCAACACAAAGTGGGTGACATTACAACATAGCAACTCACATATGACTAGATGTTGTTGATTAGAATTTGAAATACCCTAAATACATGGATTAGTGAACCGGATTGCTACTAATCTGGTATCCAAACACATAATATTTCAAAATATTTTAAAACACCCAAAAAGTTCCCATAATAAAATTCGTCATCAAAGAAAATCCAAACAATGCGGAACCTTAAGTAATTAAATCAACAGAACTTGGGACTCATGTCCGAAAATGTAAAAACTCTACGAATAATAAAGATTAAAAAATCATCAATTATATCATCCCACATCTCTTTCTCATCATTGCCTTCCGGATCAGCTTTAGGTTCATCATTTTCTTGATTACGAGCGTGTAGAAAACAAACACAATACACACTCCACAATAACACTGAGTGAGAAATAAGTGAACCTATAATTCATAACAGTCATATGAGATCATGCAATCAGCATATACATCACACATATAGTTCAATACATAATTTACTAGGCACTTGCCTATTTCCATACACATCAAACCTGTACCTATAATCTATTCTAGGCTAAGGACTTTCTACTTTCATTTGGAGTCATGATTTTTTCCACTAGATCAGCGAGTCATTCTAACCCAACGGAGGAGTTCTCCATTAGGTTGGTAGAATCCCCACCTGATGGATCACTAGATAGTTCAAGGATAATCCTATATATGTTTTTACCCAGTTAGTCATTGGCCCCAGTAGGCATCACATGACTTAAACTCTTAATTCCCTAATATTTGTGTTAATCCTAGAACTCCTTTAAGTAAACTTACCTCAGCTCATAGTTTTGGATCAACACCCAAGTAAGCAAAATTTTGCATGCTAGATCAGCCCGCTCTTACCTTTGGATTCGAGATCAATAGATACAATCAAAACATAACAAATAGCGGCCTAGTGTTGGGTTTTGACACCCACACTTACCGTTATGCTCCTTTCCCTCTCTCCATGTCTCTGTGAATTCCATCTTTCATAATATCCTAGATCTAAGCTTTATCGTCCCACCTTCATATAGATTCCTTGGAATTTTGTTTTAAATCTCATATCCCTGAAACTGAGCTTCAATCCCAAGGGATCAACACTGAAGATCTGATCTTTGAGGGAGAAGAGAATGAAAATTTTGAAGTTTCAGGCATTACGGACGGAGAGAGTGAGTCGGATGACGCTGGATCTGACTCCACTCCTCCACAAGCACCGGCTAGGTCATCGCCGAGAGTGAATATGAATTAAGTGAGTTGTAGGATGAGCCCATGCAAGGCTTTGAGAGTGAATTGGATAAAGACCAATTCGTTGAGGACGAGCAGGACACAAACCCACTGCATGATGCAAAGATGGGCAGTCACTCCAATGACACTAACACAGGGGTTGGCAAGGTCCAGCGGATTCCAGGCTTGATGTCCTACCAAGACTACAAAGTGAAGTTTCTCTTTCTTGTTTCTTTATTGTATGCATTTTTAGAAGTAATTTCACAACTTACACATAGTTAAACTCTATGTTAGAATAATAGACCAATGCTAGAGGGGGGGTGAATAGCGTTTGATCATAGAAATCGCAGGAATTAGAAATTTAAAAACGAAGTAAAGAGAAGAGTAAGAGGCACACCGAATTTACCCTAGTTCACCATAACTTGTGGCTAATCCAGCCTCCCGAGAGACTCTCTCGAGCTACACTACTATGTCGTTAAGCTTAACGGTGCTTAACAAACCCTTACAACTTGAGAAATCGAGTCACACTAACCTCAACGAATCCTTCAAAGGAAACAGCCCTTCCTTTGAATCAACCGAGAGAAATACTTTCTCTCAACGTGTCTAAGAACACAAGTACACTTAAGAACGAGACTCACTTATAGAGTAGATGATGTGTAAACTAAGTACGCTCAAGAACAACTCAATCTTCACACAATTTGGCTCTAGAAAGCTATGCAAAATGATGTTATTTGAATGCAATGAAAGTATGAATATTGTGAAGTGAATTGGTGAGAGAAGCAGACCCAAACACCCCTTTTTATAGTGCCAAAATAGGCTCCAACGGACCAATGCATTAAAGGGGTGATTGGATTGATTTATGGGATTGAAAAGATTTGGGATCTGCAGGATATTGGCTTCCCATCGATGTTTGAGACTTACCCATCGCTGGTAACTCAATTTTCCTTCAGTTTTGAAGCCAACGGTTACCTACCCATCAATGGGTACAAGCTTCCCATCGCTGGGTGGGAGGTTGACTTCCAAACAAGGAAAGAATCAACCTTAAATGACTTCCAACGGTCATGCCTTCCCATCGATGGTTTGGTCTTACCATCGCTGGGCAAGGTTGTTCTGCCTTGTGTTAATTTTGCACCAAGGCTTTAACAGCGATGGGTAGAACTTCCCATCGCTGTTTGGCATGGTTCTGGAAATTGGTTGGGCTAAGGGACCGCTTACCCATCCATGGGAAGATCTTCCCATTGCTGGGTGGGTGGTTAGTCACAAACCCATGGTTTTTGCCTTAACCACGGCCTAGCCAACCGATGCAAAAACCGACCGAAAAATCCAGAGTTCTCCAAGATAAAAACCAAGTGTTTAAAACACTTATTTGATTTATTTGGCTAAGAAATAAAGTGAGACACTTTAAAAACCACGTCATTTGAGTAAAAACCACGGCTAGCCAAGTTTACGCCATTTTGCGTGGTTTTTGTCAAACGACCAAAAGCGAAAGATGGTTTTCAAAGTGTTTTTGTTGGAGAACCGTTTAAAAATTCCAAAGAGTGGAAACCAATCATAAAATGCTGAAAACCACTTGGTTGGTTCGGATGCCAAAAACCAATGCCGATAACCGAAAGCCGAATGCTGGTTTCTGAAAGCCGAACACTCGATGGCTTGGTTTTTGGTTTGGGTGAACACCAAGTGTTTTTAATGACTTAAACGAGTTTGAAAAACATTTTTATGATGTAAGAAATGCAATGAAAGATTTTAGCCTAAAGAGCCAAGGTGTAAAGATTGGGTCGGTCTTGATCACAATAAAGACCGACTCAACGATACTAAGACTAAGGTCTTTGTTCTTATCTTCATTCTTCGCCTTGTATATTCAAAGTTTGACTTGATCACGGCGGTTTGGCATTATCAAAACCTGTCATAAAAAAACAAACACGGCTTTAGTACGAAAAACGTGATAAGCCCGTGTTTCAACAATTTCCCCCTTTTTGATAATGGCAAACGAGATGAGGTTATGCATATGAGGATTGTTTTGAGGAAAAAAATTTTCCCCCTTAATAGATACCATTTGTTTTTAACAAAGTAAAAATTCCCCCTCAATTTATGCATAACCTTGATACCTTCCCCCTTTTGACATTAACAAAAAAAAATTAAAAGTAAACTTTAGAATTTTAAAAGTAAACTTTTATTCATTAAAAAGGGAAATGCGGAATACAACGGAATGAAAAAAAATACAATCCTAGTAAGGAAAGAAGAGAAAAGAAGAGTCTAGGCATCGGCGTCCTCGTCCTCCGCCTCATCGTCATCCTCGTCGTTCTCGACGTCCATGGGATCACCGTCGACCGCGTCCTCAAAGTCGACCTCGTCAGGGGAGGGAGACGAAGCATAGGAGTCGTCGTCCTCGTCCTCGCCTTCAAATTTTTCGCCGAGAATGGTGCTGTCGAAAGGTGGCGGAACGTAGTTGATGCCACGGAAGTATGCCATCATGTCGTGGTGTTGGCGTTGCACCGTCTAGTCCATTCGCTCGATTGACTACCCCATGCCATCCACTGTAAGGGTTAGCTGATTCAGGGTATCGGCTATGGATTGCAAAGAGGCCTTGGCGGGAGCGGGGGCTGGTGCACGACTTGGGCCTGCGCCGTCTCTGTTTCCGGACTTCTTCCGCAAGGTGCTGTCGGCAATCATCCAAAGCTTCGTCATCTTCGTGTCTGGCCCGGCGATGTGGATATCGGCGGAGACGATGATGTCCATGATGAGGAAGGCGTACGGCAAGCTCTGCTCGGTGGCGAGTGAGGCGCAATCTGCCATGTGTATCATGACAAATTTTGCCCAATTGATGGAGGCGCCGTGGATGATTGCATGAATCGCCTTCAAATCCTCGTTGAAGAGCGAGGTATGGCTGCTGTCCCGGGGGCGAAGAATCCGGGTGATGATGTAGAGGAGGAGGCGCTTGTCCAGTGGGGCTGAGTAAATCGCCGGCGCGCCGCTGTGGCGGATCAAGTTGGTGATCCCAAGCTCACGAATGACAACCGCCTCGTTGTTGAGGATCCAATCGTCGCCACCATATGTCGCGATGTTGTCACCACGGATGGGCAGCCCTGCAACCCGAGCAAAGGTAGGCAAATCAATCTCTATGTCGTAGAGATTGATGCTGCTGCGGATGGTGTCCCCGTCACGGCGGAGATTGGAGTAGAAGGCCCGGACAAAGGTGGGATTGTAGGACTGACGACTCATGGAGACGAACGACCACAGACCCGACGCTTGAAGCTGATTGACGAGGTCTTGGTACCCCTTTTGTTGAGGGTATAGCTCGGGCAGCACCCTGGGCGGAGAAATTGGGCGTTTGGCAAAGTGATTGAGGAAGCGCGTGAGTTCTTCCTCCGACACGAACACAAGAAATGAGCCGTCTAGATAGGGAAACGGCTGGGGCGCAGAGGTCGTAGCTTCAGCGTTGCCCTTCTTCTTGGAGGCCTTCGACTTGGATTTTCCTCCGGCCATAGCAACGTTTATGAAGAAGAAAGAATGAAATTTGATTAGGAGATTGAATTTGGGATGTAAATTTGTGATTAGGAATGATAAAACAAGGTGTGTATATATAGTGAAGGGGTGGAAACCGGATTGAGTTCAAAAAATATGACTGTTGGGCATTAAATTCCTTACCCAACGGTCAAAAAATTTTGAATCGCAGTAGGCTTCCCAGCGATGGGAAGAAGTTCCCATCGATGGGAAGGTCGCCACTCGAAAGCGAAGGGGAAAACTGAACTGCCTTCCCAGCGATGTGTGGATTCTCCCATCGATGGGAAGGTGGATTCTGGAAAGTGAAGGTTAAAAGACGAAAGCCTTCCCAGTGATGTTAATATCATCCCATCGCTGGGTTGGTGATTTTGGGAATCCGATAAAAAATTTAAAAAAGATAGTGTCAAACACCCAGCGATGGGAGTGGGTTCCCATCGATGGGTAGGGAGGTTCTGGAAAAAAATTATTTTTGACAAAAGTCCTTCACCCAGCGATGGGGTGAGATACCCATCGATGGGTAAGGTGTTTCTGGAAAAAACGTTAAAAAATTTTAAAAAAAGAGTCAATTACCCATCAATGGGAGAAGGCACCCATCAATGGGAAGAGGGGTTCTAGAAAAAGTGAAGACTTCCCTCCCAGCGGTGGTATAGCCCACCCATCGCTGGTTCCCCATGATTTCCAGAATTCTGCACTTCGACCGTCCCTGCAAAAAAGAGTTAGAAAACCCTCTAACGCTCAAGTTAGTAAGCGTTCAAGCAAAGATAAAGAGTGAAAAAATTCACAAATTAGATCATCGCGGAGTCAAGGATTCCGAGTTCACTACGAATGCGGAAGAACGACTCTTTCTCTAAAGGTTTTGTGAAAATGTCGGCTAATTGATTGTGTGTTTCAACAAACAAAATTTCGACATCACCTTTGAGAACATGATCTCTAATGAAATTGTGCCTAATGTCAATGTGTTTCGTCCTTGAATGAAGAACGGGATTCTTCGTCAAGCTTATGGCGCTAGTATTGTCACACCAAAGTGTTGAAACACGGGTTTATCACGTTTTCGTACTAAAGCCGCGTTCGTTGTTATGACAGGTTTTGATAATGCCAAACCGCCGTGAACGAGACAAGTCATTGAATATACAAGGCGAGAACCAAAGATGAGAAGAAAGAGAACAAGAGCCAAACAAAGACCTTAGTCTTAGCATCGTTGAGTCGGTCTTTATTGTGATCAAGACCGACCCAATCTTTACACCTTGGCTCTTTAGGCTAAAATTCTTTTCAATGCATTTCACACATCATAAAAATGTTTTTCAAAGATGTATAAAACATTAAAAACACTTGGTGTTCGCCCAAACCAAAAACCAAGCAATCCGGCATTCGGGTTTCAGAAACCGGCATTCGGCATTCGGTTTTCGGCGTTGGTTTTTGGCGTCCGAACGAACCAAATGGTTTTCAACTTTTTATGACTTGTTTTTACTTCTGGGCACATTTAAATAGTTTTTCATCAAAAACACTTCAAAAACCACCTTTCGTTTTTTGTCGTTTGATAAAAACCATGTGAAACGGCATTAACTTAGCTAGCCGTGGTTTTTACTTAAATGAAGTGGTTTTCGAGTCTTTTTGTGTGGGAATTGTTTTTGAATGAATTTAAATGGTTCTCCAATCAAAACATCATGAAAACCACCTTTCGGTTTTGTCTTTTGGTGAAAACCACCCGTGTACGGTGTTGACTTGGTCAACCGTGGTTTTTACCTTAACGACGTGGTTTTCAACTTACAAAGCTTGTTTTGACATCAAAATACATTAAATAAGTGTTTTATATACTTAGTTTTTACTTTGGAGAACTTTGCATTTTTCGGTCGGGTTTCAGCGCCGGTCAGCTAGGCCATGGTTCTGGGCTAGCCATCTACCCAGCGATGGTAGATTTCACCCATGCATGGGTAAGTGATCCCGGGATTCCAGAATCATGCCACCCAGCGATGGGAAGATCTTCCCATCGATGGGTAAGCAGTCCCTCAACGAAACTGATTTCCAGAACCATGCCAAACAGCGATGGGAAGTTCTACCCATCGCTGTTAAAGCCTTGGTGCAACATTACCACAA